CTTTGATCTACCCCTATTGTTTCTTGGCAAAAATCACGCCTATTTCCTTTAAGGCCACCTCTCTAAAAATCTTAAATTTTCACAATTTTTATGGGAAATGTATACTTCCTGGCTATCCAAAGTTAGGAAAGTCACACCTTTGGGCTTAACTTAAGTTTAGTAGAAGCGATCATTTTTTTTACAGAGGTAGAAATACCTACCTAATAACCCTAATTTTGGGGATATATTTTTTCTTGACCCGGAAGTTCGGGTACATCGTATGAAAATGTCTTTCCATTGAGTGGTTATCTTGGACACATTTTTTTAAACTCCCTAAAAGTCGAACTAAAGTCCCTCTCCAATCCTGACTTACATTATAGACTACATTTTGCCCTTTCCAAAATGGTGCGATATGTGGCTGTATCTGTTGTGTATCAAAATATATGGGTCTTAGAATCCTACAAAAACAAGGAAATTCTTTGGCGTAGCCCGAGTTGGTTTCTGTCCATAGAAGAAAGTCTTCTTTGTTTTTGTTTTGCCGAAGGAAGTCTTTTTTTCCTATTGGTATCATCCTCATTTCTGTGCAATAAATAATTAATAATACCCCCTAAATGTCTGAAAGTGAACAACCAACGAAAAAACAAAAGATGACGACCGACTCCGAGGCACAAACTGGCGAAGCGCCAAAAGATATTCCACAAACCACAACCGGAGAAAAGACATGCAAACATTGGGTGCAACGTAAGAAGCGGTTTTGTAAAATGACAGTGGCCAAGGGAAAGGAATATTGTGGAGAACATGCACCGGCTGTCAAGCTGGAAGCAGGACAGTCACCAGAAGATCAAGATAGAATACCCTGTCCATTGGATGGCAAACATACCGTCTACAAAAAGAACCTGAATAAGCATTTGAAAATTTGTAATGCCAAGCCAAAGGAAGATTTGCCGGAGTACATACAAAAGAATGTGAATGCAGGAGAAGCGGAAGACGCTTTAACTCCCGACGAATTAAATGCCATTAAATTATCAGAATTGGAAGATTCCGAATTTTATAAAATTATAGATAAAGTAAAGGACCTCTATGGCAAATATGTTGAAGGTCAAATTAAATCTCTGGACTATCATCACAAATGTATGGACGAAGAGTTGGCCAAGGAGGAGTATGGTAAAGAGTCACGCAAGCATTTGTTGCAAGCTGCAGCCCTACTGGGTATACTTGACAAGGAACAGACAATACAAAACTCGACCAGTTTTGTAGAGTTTGGAGCTGGTAAAGGACAATTGGCGTTTTATCTCTCAAAGTTGTTGGAAAATATGGAAAACTCACAAGTGGTATTGGTGGATCGTATGTCGTTGAGACATAAAAAGGATAACAAAATTGAAGATCGTTCATTGGTTCAGAGGATACGTGCTGATATTATTGATTTTAAATTAGAAAAATTACCCGCCTTAGAAACGTCTAAACATTGCATGGCTGTTTCGAAACATTTATGTGGTGGTGCCACAGATCTCTCCTTGAGATGTATAGTCCAAGCAGCTGCCGAGAAATGTTTGACTGATTTAATTATGATTGCAGTTTGTTGTCATCATCGCTGTGATTGGTCTTCATTTGTTGGCAAGGAGTTCTTCAAGAGACACGAAGTCACGCCGCGTGAATTTGCCATTATTACCAAAATGGTTAGTTGGGCTATATGTGGCACCGGTATGAGCCGTGAAAGGCGTAAAGCTTTGGAAGAACAAAATCTCTCAGAAGTGGAGATAAAAGAAATTCAATCGAATCAAAGATTGTCGTTAGCGGAGCGGGAAACTATTGGTTTTATGTGTAAACGCATTTTGGATTATGCCCGTTTGGAATATTTGAGGCAGAACGCCTACGATGCTGATTTGTATTATTATGTTGAGAAAGATGTTACCTTGGAAAATGTTGTTCTATTGGCAAGACGAAAAGAGGAAAGTGCGGACAAATAAAAAGTATTTTAAAATGAATGGACACTTGTGTTTATTATTTGGATATTAAATTGCCTTAATTGGACGGAAATAGATAATTCGGGGTCAAATAAAAATGTCTGTAAATCTGAAGGTCCAAAAAAAATTTCCAAAATGAGTATGTATCTCGAAATTTAAATTATTTAGGATATATTGAATTTCTTTATTGGAAGGAGGTCTCAGTCTATGTCATAAGTATGTATACATTTATCCTCACTCTTGTATGTGATTTTGGTTTGCGGAGAATTATTTTATAAACTTTATAATTTTTCAAAATTGTGACAATTTCCGGGAAGGTACCAGACATAATCTATATTAATAAAAGAGTAAAGTGATTGACTCAACGATTCATCAACGCCCATACGAGGATGAACCTAGAATCCTAAAATTGCGGGCGAGGTTCACTCTTAGTCCGCTGGTGTCAGACAATGCTCGATTTTTGGATAGTCGTGCTAAAACGGCATGAAAAGAGCTAAAAAGTACTAAATATGGTACCATTTGTATTTGGCGAACTGGTGGAGCTAGAACTCTTATATTTGGAATGAGGATCACTGATGGAATGTGGTATAGATGTACTAAAGGAAATTCGAACTAAATATCCAAAAATAACTAAAATGTTCAAAATATGGTACAATTTCGCAGCATAGAACTGATAGTGCTAAAAACTTAAAATTTGGAATGCGAATCAAGGTTGGGAGAAGGTCGATATAAGAAGGGGGATTTGGAAGTGTGTACCTATGTATACGAAATGTACTAAATTTTGTACTATTTGAATTTGGAGGAACGGAATGAGCTGACATATGAAATTAACATAACAGTCAGAGTGTTGAATTGGAATTTGTCGGTAGTTTTGGAAATTTGTATATATTTGGTAAAATTTGGATTTGGGTGAACCGATAGAGCTAGAGCACTGAAATTTGGAAATAAGATTACTACTGCAATATAGAATTGAGGTATGTTGGTACTTTTGGAAATACGTTCTTATGTGCACGAAATAGTACAAAATTTGGTACAATTTCATTTTTGGATGAACCGATAGACCTCGAATCCTGAAATTTGGAGTTAGGTACACTGTTGCGGTGTACGATTGTGGTATGTAGGAAGTTTTGGAAATATGTACTAAATGACACTAAATTTGGTAGAATTTGGATTTTGGGTGAACCCATAGGACAGGAATCCCTTAATTGGGAAATTATATTTCTATTGAATTGTATGATAGTAATGGAAATTTGAACTTACGTGCACTAAAAGATACTATATGGCATACATTTTGGACTTATATACTCAGATTAAAATTTAATGCCTATATAGCCGGGTCCGTCTATTAAACTCAAGATAGAGCCGCAATATTTATGGTATAAGTTGGTACTTTGATCGGATGGTACTAATTGACTGTAGCAAATCTCCATACAAAAATCATCGATATCGGTCTATATTTTCTGGTTGTCCTTATGTAACGGGACCCTATTATTCGGTATTCTGGGTCAGTTTTGTAGTAAAATTGAACCGGTATCAGTAGGCGTGGACTTAAAAAAACATTTTGTAGGGACATGTGTGTACATAGGTCCCGTATTTATTAAGAGTTGAAAAAAATAAGTTCGGCAGGGCCGAAGGTATACTAAAATATAGGGAACATAGTGATGATAGATAATTCTACAAAGCGATTTATGTACACCAAATACAAATTTCAGCAATTTTTAATGGATATTTTTCCTCAACACCCCAAAAAGTGAACTGATATTGACGATGCATGGTAGGATGGAACATCCCCAAAATACTGAAATTTAGAGGTTACAGGTATATAAGGCCATCAACAACGTACACGGGTTTTATTTTGGGAGGTTGGGGGGAAGCTGCTCGTTCAATATGAAAATTTTCATTGCCGATATGTGTATGAGTACGTCCCTGGAGGCGAAACCTAAAGCGGGACCAATATTGATTACATCATGTAGGAATTACTAAACATTTGTAGTTATCATTATATGAGGTGCCATGCCTAATTGAGTACTGATATAGCTTAATTTCGAAACTAAAATTTTTGCAGCACACTAACTTCCTATACGCTAAATATTAAAAAGACCGAAAATCGGTAGGGACTAGACCTAACTGCGAGCCGATATAGTTTATTCTCGAAACTCATGTTCTAGTTTTTTATCTCAATATCCTCTGCAGGCAGAATGATTACAACAAAGTCTTAGAATCAAACCCAAAACTCGAAACAAATCAGATAACTATTTTAATATAAAAAGGGGGTTATATGGGGACTACCCCTAAAAGGGGCGAATATTAATCATTTTTGCTAGTGACTACAAAAATCCAAATTACCGAAAATTGGGTGTACCCTTATATGGGGGCTAACCAAAAAAATTGACCTATATTTATAATTATTAATGGAGAGATTTGCTATGTTCTTAAGGAAACAAATAGAGCACAAGAGAAGCAGGAAAAACCTGTTTTAATTCAGGAATTTTTAAAAGTAGCCAAAATTTTATGCAATCCTGAATCTCTAACTTTAGAGGAAAGGATCAAGATTTTTTTAGGTAAATACAAACAAATGACAAAAGATCAAGCAAAGACTGAATGCTTGAAATTAATGCAAGATGTCCAAGATGTATACTTTCCGTAATTCTTTGAACTTAGTTACTTTTAATGTTGGCTCCCTAGTCAGATGAATGGAACAGTTCAAAAATTTTTGTTTGGATCTGTTTACTTTCCTAGCAATTTTGACCGCAGGTTAATTTTAAATGGCTTGTCAGTAATTCTAAATTTTTCTCGAAGTTTTGATGGCCTTGTAATTGCAGGAGATTTAAATGCTAAACACATTACTTGGGGCGACACAATTAATAATTATAATGGTGAAGTTCTGTCAAATTGGTTTGCTGCCGAGAGCTTAAATGTATGTAGGATTTGTGATTCCTATCCCACTTATCCCAGATGTTCATCACATTTGGATCATTTTACTGTTAGTAGCAATTTGGTTGGCAATCAACATTTCACAACAAGTACGTTACCCACATTTTCTGATCACTTGCCTTTGAAACGTCACCTCTCCTTTTCGCAATTTGATTTCATTTTGCAAAACCCCGAAATCTTCATCTCATTTAAGAATGCTAATTGGGATTCATTCAAACAAGATATTATTAACTCTTTGCTATGCCATTATCCTCCCATCAACCGAAATCTGACAAATTCCGAGATTGATTATTATATAGAGGAGTTTGTAGCGACTCTCAATTTCGTAGTTAAGTTGCATTCTCGTGAGGTTAAAAGAGGCCAACATTTTTAATTCGAAATTAAGTGAAATTAGACCTGGTCCTGGCAGATCTTTAATATTATAGGTAAGAAAAACAGATCCAAAGTAACTGACGTTTCTGTAAATGGCGTTAATATTTCTGATGTAAATCAAAAATTAGAATCTCTGAAGAATCATTTTAGTTCCATTTATCAAGGTTCTCCCCCCGACAGAGACACAACGTACATAGATGAAACCATACACCGTGTTATATCAAGTGTAGAAGATTCTATCAACACGTTTGATGATTCCACAACAGCCCTAAATAATCAAAACGAATCTGTTTTTACTTCGTTAAATGAACTTCAGGCAAACATAAAATCAATGAATAACAAAAAATCGTGCGGCGTGGATAACGTGTCAAATTACATTATCAAAAAATTTCCGACGAAGGCCTTGGAGTATATGACAATATTATTTAATAATTGTATAAACAACGGTTATTTTCCGAGAGCTTGGAAGATATCAAAACTTGTTTCTATAAGAAAAAAATCTGGAGACAGTGATATTAATAACTTAAGACCGATTTCACTTCTTTTAAATCTTGGAAAATTTTTGGAAAAAATTATTAAGGAAAAAATGGATGCTGAGGTGAGTGGTCCTTATATTACTCAATATCAATTTGGTTTTAAGAAGGGAAATTCAACAGCTCTTGCTCTTCTGAAATTTCACAACGATATTATCCAGAATCTGAGGGAAAAACGATGCACTGTGGCGGTGTCACTTGACGGCGAAAAAGCCTTTGACAAAGTCTATCACAATGGCATTTTATTCAAAATGATTGAGATTGGGTTTCAACCAACGACAGTGAAGCTTTTTAAAAGCTTTTTCGACGAAAGAAAATTCTATGCTCAAATTGAAAACGTCCTGTCATCCTTATGTGATGTAACCTGCGGCGTGCCGCAAGGATCCATATTAGCACCTCATTTATATAATATATCCATATACGACTTTCCCCATGTATTTGATGGATCCAAGGGTATACTTTATGCCGACGACTCTCTTCTCTACGCTCACGATGAGTCCCCGTCAGTTGCTCTTCAACATGTTTCATCGCATCTTAACCGAGTGAAATATTTTTATTCGCAATGGGGCATTAAAATTAATGCCGCAAAGAGTAAAGCAATTTGCATTAGAAATGCTTCCGGAAAATGCAAATATACTGTAGTGCCGGAAAGTAAACAGTTAGAGCTGCATTTGGATAGTGATGAAATTGAGTTCACTGATAACCTTAAATACTTAGGAGTTAATTTCAACCACCTTCTAAAATTCAACAGACATGCTGATTATAATTTGGAAAGAGCGAATCGCATTAAAGGTGCATTTTCAAATTTATTTAACAACAAATTTTTATCAGTTAGAACTAAATTATTCCTTTACAAAGTTAGCATACGTCCTGTCCTTCTGTATGCCTTTACTATTTGGTTCAACATTTCTCCAACCACGATGAAGAAATTAGAAGTTTTTGAGCGAAACATTATTCGGAAATGCTTAGGTCGAAATTTTCAGTCACATACTAAGCGATATTCAAATGAATTCATTTATAATGAGAGCAAAATTATACGACTTTCAGCATATGCACTTGATTTGATGAAGCGATTCGTAGAAAGACTTGTCGATTTCAATGGGTCGATTTTTCAGGAAATTTTAAACAGCGAACGAGAATTTAATTGGACGAATACGAATTATC